TCACGCCAACACTACAAAAGCAAGATGCCGCGTTCTGAAACCGCGTCCATAATCAATCGGCTGCTTACCAGCGATGTTCTGCCCACGAGTCGCATCATATTCTCAACCCATGGCTGGAGTAACGCGAGAACGTACGAATGCTTGTGCTGAAATGCACTCCCCTTGATGGGGGTGTGTCGAAGTCTCAACTTCTAATGCCCTGTGGCTTTTGCATTACCCGTGAGGAGCAATCTAGACAATCGATCCGCGCTGCCACATGCGCGGCGCGCGCTGGGGGCAAGGGGCAAGAGAGCACTGGCCCAAGCGCAACAGGCGAGAGCATGCTGCGGATCGTGGCTTGGGAAAATGTGCTACCCCGCATGGCCCAAACAGCCAGATCCAAGGATTCTGGAAAACAGAGCCCTGTATCAATCACGAAACAACGCCCAACACGATGCAACCGTCGGCCCGTCTCATGTCTTCAGTATCGAGCCACCGAGGTATCTTCAAATATTTGAAAAGGAGATCTGCAAAGCTCTGCGCGGAAAACTGGCTAACGGTTCATTCCCGCCGTCCACTCCGGCATGGCCCAGACCGCCAGCCTGAGGCCCTGAAGCACGGCCCCGGCGGTGCAAGACTTACGCGTACCCCGCCTCTCGGCTGCACGTGAAAGTGGCCCCCGGCAAGAATGACACCAGGCAAGAGTGGCCCCTGGGCAAGGGTGACCCTTTGGTTCGCTGCTTCACGGGGCCACGGGAGGGCCAGATCCAAGCGCACAAATCTGTGCTGGGGTGCAGGGCAGCGTTGGGGGCGGAACGCCTCAGGGTGGGAAGCATCGACATGGAATCGGCGACACAGCGCCGACAGATCGGTGATTGGCCCCCCGATAGCGAATCCGCACGGTCCTGGGCGGGCCCAGGTTACCAGGCCACTATCGGCGATGAACGGGCGAGTGGTGGTCGATGCATGAGCCTACCCCACCCTGGCAATGCCCCTGATGGGGGGACCCACCCTGCGGGCTCACACCAAAGGTCACTCTGACGGAGCGTCACTCTCATCTTGTGCGTGGCCGAGGCTCACCGCACGCGGACCGTGGCGGGACGGCCGAGTCGCTGGCCGCTCGGTGTGAACGCGGGCTGGAGCTGGCAAGCCCCCTCCAGGGCTCCAGGGTGGAACGAGGACACACTCCGGCCGGTACGCGGCAAGGCTTCGGGCTGCGCGCAGGCAGCCCCCCCCCCGGGTACAGTCGGGGCCTTGACCTAAGGAACCCTAAATAAGGAACGAGGCCCCTTTTTTCCATAGGTTAAACTTCGATTTCCGATCGAAAACATCAGGAAAGTCTGAGGCAAGCTGCGGCACACTCAAGGAACGCGGAGCCCCTCCCCAACGAAAAGGGTTCCTTCCTCAGGGCCCCGACTGTAGCCCCAGCGGGCCTCCATGGGCCCCCCGAGCAGCCCGGAGCAGAGCGGCGCAGGGCGACCCGACGTCCGCTCCCTGTCGGGAGCGGTCCCCTGCCGGGAGGGTCCCGAGCAGCCCGGAGCAGAGCGGCGCAGGGCGACCCGACGGCCGCTCCCTGCCACGAGCGGCCCCCTGCCGGGAGGGTCCCGAGCAGCCCCGGGGCGGTTTCAGCACCCTGGCGCCGCCTCCGGCGGCGCCGCTGGGGCGCCCCGCGCCCCGGGATTTTGTGATCCCCTCCTCCTCCACCCCCTCCTCCCTCCTCCTCCCCTCCTCCTCTCTCCTCCTCCTCCTCCTCCTCCTCCTCCTCCCTCCTCCTCCTCTCCTCCTCCTCCTCCCCTTCCTCCTCCTCCCCTCCTCTCCTCCTCCTCCTCCTCCTCCTCCTCTCCACCTCCTCCTCCTCCTCCATCCTCCTCCTCCTCCTCCTCATCCTCCTCCTCCTCCTCTCCTCCCCACCCTCCATCCACCTCCCTCCTCCTCCTCCCCCCTCCTCCCGTCCTCCTCCACCTCCTCCTCCCTCCTCCTCCTCCTCCTCCTCCATCCTCCTCCCCACTCCTCCTCCCTCCTCCTCCTCCTCCTCCTCCTCCTCTCCTCCCTCCTCCACCTACTCCTCACTCTCTCCTCCTCCCTCCTCCTCCTCCTCCCTTCCCCTCCCCTCCTCCTCACTCCTCCTCCTCCTCCTCCTCCTCCTCACTCCTCCTCCTCCTCCTCCTCCTCTCCTCCTCCTCCTCCTCCTCCTCCTCTCCTCCTCTCTCCTCCTCCTCCTCCTCCTCTCCCCTCCTCCTCCTCCTCCTACTCCTCCCTCCTCCAACCTCCTCCTCCCTCCTCCTCCTCCTCCTTTCCTCCGCCTCCCTCCTCCTCCTCTCCTCCTCCTCCTCCTCCTCCTCCTCCCTCCTCCTCCTCCTCCGTCCTCCCCTCCTCCCTCCTCCTCCTCCCCCCTCCCTCCTCCTCCTCCTCCTCCTCCTCCTCCTCCTCCTCCTCCTCCTCCCCTCCTCCTCCCCTCCCCTCCTCCTACCTCCTCCTCTCCTCCTCCCCTCCTCCTCCTCCTACCTCCTCCTCCCTCCTCCTCCTCCTCCTCCCCTCCTCCTCCTCCTCCTCCTCCTCCTCCATCCTCCTCATCCTCCTCCTCCTCCACCCTCCTCCTCCACCCTCCTCCCTCCTCCTCCTCCTCCTCCTCCTCCTCCTCCTCCTCCTCCTCCTCCTCCTCCTCCCCATCATACTGGAGGGCCACATCCCCAAAATGATTTCGAGCGCCCAGGAGAGCATCGAAACCATGTCGAACGAGTCTCGCCTCCCAGGGCCCGACGCGTGAAAGCCCTCCAGTTTCGGTACCTGCTTGGTGCTCGAAAGTCTTCCTGGCGGTCAAGGCTCAATAGGTTGGAACATCATAAGCCCCAGGATTGAGGTGTTGAGACCGGCCCGGCCTACTCGGGGGGCCTGTTGCAGCCAGTCGGGGGTTCCTGGGGGGCTGCCTGTGCACAACTCGAAGCCTCACCAATTGCAGGGCGAAGCCAGCGGCGGCGATAGGGGCCCCCAAGGGGGCCCGCAGGAGCGGAAAGCGACGGAGGGCAACGACAGTCTGCATATCGGTACCCAGACGTGCGATGCCCTTCCTTTGTCGACACGGGGTCCGCAGGGGTCCCGACCCCTTCCCAGTCATCGCGAGCCGTTTCTTGACGGCCCCGGGGCCCAGCAGTGGCCCTCAGATGCCGAAGACTGCCACAACTCTCCCCCGTCGCGATGTTGCTCGCAGCGCGAGCATGTCGTCTCTTGACGACCGCGGGGCCCAGCGATGGCGCTCATGCAGATGCCGAAGACTACCCAAAAACCTCTCGTCGCGATTCTGCGCCCAACGAGAGCATGTCTGGGCGAACCGCCAGTCGGAACAGGCAGGAGCACGTCTGGGTTCCACGCCCGCCGAAGAGAACAACCAACACCCAACCACAGAGCAGCTCACTTCTCGGCGTATGGAAGGCGCTTGCAACAGACTGGGATCTGGAGATCCCGAAACCTCTGCCTTCAGCGGCTGGCGTGCACACGCTCTCCTCCGCCGAGCTTCCGCCCCAGACCCCCGACGTCATGATTTTTTCATGACGCGACCCCCAGAGGTCCGGACCTATTCGCCAGGACCGGTTTTTCATCCTGAGCTGTTTTTGACGGTCCCGAGGGCCGGTAAGGGCCCCCAGAGGCGGAAAATGTAGAAAAACCTTCCGTCGTGATTTTTGTCATGACTCGAGGGGTCTCCAGAGCGTTCCGGAGCGTTCTCAGAGCGTTCCGGAACGCTCTGGAGCGGCCGCGGCGCCCAATACATCCTCCGAACCCGCCGATTCTCAGAGATTTCGAGTTATCCCGATCCGATTTTGTCCCGATCTTCGCGTCGCTTTACACGCTCTCCTCCGCCGAGCTTCCGCTGCAGCACGCGGGGCTCCTGCCCCTCCGCCGCGCGGCGGAGAGGGCGAGCCCCTGGGGGCCCCCGACGCCGCGGTGCCTGCCGCGGGCTCGGGCCCCCGCGGGGCTCGCCGCCCTCCTTCGGGGACCGGCCCGTTCTCCGAGCGGCGAGGAATTTCCAAAAAAACAAAACAAAAAAAACAAAACAAAAAAAAAAACTAGATGTTTGTTTTTTGTTTGTTTTTTTTGTTTTTGTTGTTGCTTGCAATCCTTCGTTTTTGTTTTTTTGTTGCCTCTTCAGCCGGGTTCTGGCGGGCTTGCCTGCATGGCACTCGCCTCAGGTCGGGCCTGGCCCCCTACAGGGGGATTTTGGGCGAACAAAAAAAACGTACCTCCAACACATGCTCCCAAATGGTCAGAGATAGTCACGAAATCGTCCCCGGACTATTTTTGTTGACCATCTTTGCATATTCCTCCTGCAGAGGGACAGGCCCGACTGAACACTCGCCCCACCACCCTCCGCTGCTCTGTCGGACAGCGCTGGGCCGAAACGGCGCGCAAGTACGTCCCGCCTTGCGCGAAGTGCAGCTCTCCTTTCGGGCCTCGCCACGCCCCCCTGTCCCCCCTCCGTGCAAGCAAGCGTGCCAGAAGCCAAAACAGAACGAGCACCCGGAAGTCAGGCTTGCGCACGATGGTACAGCGACCTCGCGCGGTGGCTTCCGCGGGCCGCAGGCGTGGCAGCCCACATTGGAAACGCGGGCAGCTCACCCATCGGTGGGAAGAAGTGGGTAGAAATATGCAGTAGGAAGGCGGTGGCAATAGATTGGACTTCCGCCGGCCCCCTGAAGAGGAGGGACGAGGGACAACCGCTCGACTTCTGAAGTGGGGTGGCGCCTAAGGTAGATTAGGATTTGGGTGTCCAACAGTACCTACTTTCAACGACCCGCGTGCGCGGGCAGTGTCCACACAATCGAACCCGTCTCTCTGTTAGAGGCCTCCTGGATGGGGTCCGACTAGATGGGCTCGGACAATCGCGCCGCATCGCTGCTGCATGGGCGGTACATCGAGGGTACATCGGCGATGCGTGGGCGACGTCGGCGATGCATCGGCGACGTCGGCGTGGAGAAAATCGGGCTCCACATCCTGCATCGGCGATGCGGCGCGATCCTCCGCCCCTC